CACATGTTATGGCCAATGTTAATTTTTTTAAAAAAGGTCAAACTCCAAGGTCAAGGTCAATGCCAAAATTGTTGGTTTCCAAAGGAAGGTCTTGTCACTAGGAATATACATGTGAAGTATGAAAACCCTAACACCATCTGTTCAAAAGTAATGGCCAAGGTTAAAGTTTTTCAAAAGTAGGTCAATCTCCAAGGTCAAAGTTTTTGGTATCTAAAGGAAGGTCTTGTCACAGGAATGCATATGTAAAGAATGAAAGCCCTAGCACCAACTGTTTAAAAGTTATGGCCAAGAATATTTTTTTTCATCGGTAGGTCAAACTCCAAGGTTAGGGCCATAAGGTCAAAGTTGTTGGTGTCCAAAGAAAGGTCTTTTCACAAGGAATACACATGTGAAGTATGAACAGTTCAAAAATTATGACCAAGGTTAAAGTTTTTCGAAATTAAAGTAGGTCAAACTCAAAGGTCAAATTGTCAAAGTTGTTGGTATCCTAAGGAAGATCTTGTCACAAGGAATACACAACTGAAATATGAAAACCCTAGCACAAATTGTTTAAGCGTTATGGATAAGGTTAAAGTTTTTTCAACAGTAGGTGAAACTCCAAGGTCAAGGTCAAAGGGTCAAAGTTGTTGGTGTCCAAAGGAAGGTCTTGTCACAAGAAATACAAATGTGAAGTTTGAAAGCCCAAGGATCAACTTTAAAAAGTTATGGCCAAGGTTAAAGTCTCATAAAATTTTGCAAAAGTAGGTCAAACTCCAAGGTCAAGGTCAAATATGATGGTACCTAAAGAAAGGTCTTGTCACAAGTAATACACTTGTAAAATATGAAAGCCATTGCTTTAACCAATCAAAAGCTATGGGCAAGGTTAAAGTTTTTGCTGACAGACAGACGGACAGGGCAACAACTATATGCTCCCGAATCTTCGATTACGGGGACATTAAAATACGAAGAAAATAAAAACCCACCCGTTTTTATAAAGAATAACGGTACTTAACGCTTGTTTTGGGGTCTTTTTCCGTCGCTTCTGTTGCTTTTATATATCTTAAAGCAACAGTACGGCTGCAAAACGTGTGCTTTTTCATTCAAATTTCCCCAATATGTCATTAAGAAATAAGATATAAAGTTGATGTAAGCAGTTTGAGAAACATAAATATTCTCTCCTCATACAAAATTAACGTAATTAGAATCTGCCGGAAAATCAAGGGTCGTACGAACTGGAGCAATCTTAGATCTGTTTATTTGTACCACGTGAATTCTAAAACGGCACATGCCTACACTGTTGAAATTACAATTATAATGAATATGAGGTAAAAGCAATTCTCAAAAGCAAATTATCATAACTTTCTGATAAAATATTATAAAATAATAACCGTAGAGATTTTAGTCTGCGTTCTGACGAATTTAACAGAATTAAAAGTACAAATGTTGACGTTTGGTGTATTGGGGTCCGAGAAAGGAAAAACCACCAAATCATATGTTATCGCGGCAAAATGTCAAACAAAATATTTTTCTGCACAGTTAAAAAAAATTAGCACTTTAAATGGCAACAATGTTTATAAGTCATATGGCAACAATGTTTATAAGTCATAGGTGTATTTTTATGTTGAGTTTACACTGATTTTGTTTAAAGCGATGGAAAAACAAGTATCAACAAACCTGTCGAGTAGAACTTTCGCGAGTCCTGCGTGAGTGTCGCCGAGTTCCCGTTTCTTCCTCATCCAACAATTATATTAATTCCCAAACTAAATTTTAGTCAGGAAAGTTGCTTTTTCAAGCTTTATTTTCAGTTTCTTTTTCTTTTTGGTCGACTTTGTCAATGTAGCAGGCTCTAAGGGCTTCCTTCTCTTACCATGCTGTTTTGTTTATGAAAACTACGCATGCGTGCATAGCATGGAATGTGGAACCCCGAACACGTTGCGATGTATATATTTACGTCCCATAAATAATTATTAATTTTAATGAAATAATCAAAATTATTTCATTGTGAAAGTTGTAATTTTCTGAAAGTTTATACATTTATGAGTTGCAAAAAAATTCCAAATCTTGTCGGAAAATTTTGTCAAGTCAGTTTTTGATGCGCCGTACTGTCACTTTAACCTTATTTCAGTTTTGTATATCAACTAGAGAATTCTGTCAATTTGGCGCCAAATTTAAATGTTAAAATGATTTTAGACTGTCATACAATAAAATAATTCTATATTTTTTGTCCTTACTGCTTTCCAAATATAGAGAATTTACACTTATCTGCCTTTGATTAAACATTAAGTATGCATGAGAGGTGGAGATAACATTGTAAGAACTGCTCTAAAGTTAGACTAGATAAAAACAATGTATAAAAATACGAGATTACTCTTTCCCATTTCCCCCCTTATTCTGTATGGCAAAAGTACACTATTTACAAAGGTTTCAAAATGAAATTAACAATATAAGCACGTCCATGTAAGTAAAGAATATTTTGAATAGATGCCTGACAATTCAACGTGCTCGAGCACAGTGTCCTAGTTAGCACAAAACATGCTACCTTACAAGTCACGTGACGGAATTTAGTATTCACAGAGTTACCTGAGGTAGGACATCACGTGATGAATTATAATATTCTACATGCCACAGCCCTTGGTTACAACAAAGAGAGCGAATGTAAGAAGAAACAGTTTTGCTTTTCATTTAAACCATGAGCGCATGTTTGTCTATTAATCTCCTTTTGACACAACATTATTAATGCAAATATACAACTACTGTAAAATGCAGAACAATAGACAAACATGCGCTTTCTATGTATAAAGTCAGTGAAAAAGTGGGCGTCTTCATTATCGTACCGAGATTCAAGAAATTGTCCTGACCCCCGCCTTTGAAAACAGCTTCGTACTGCGTAAATACAAACTTTTACAGCTTACTCCACTTATATTGAACTCGCTTATTTTGAAATTCCGCTTATTTTGAATTAGAAATAAATCCCCAGATTTTGCCTCTCATATTCTTTGCATTAAAATAACGGTTATATTGAAATCGGTTATATTGAAATTTCGCTTATATTGAAGCCACTGATCGGTCCCCACAGGTGATAATGAGTTGTTTCAATAACGGTTATATTGAAGTACTCCCTGGCGGCTGTCGTTACGGTTGGTGACAGTAATTATGCCTGATTGAGCAGTTGATATACAAAGGTGTGAATAATTTAGTTTTCAACATTTGTGTTTTAATACTGCATGTTCTTACGAAATAAAATTCTTCACTGTTCCATTTTTTGCGTCCGCGTATATAATACGGACATATTGAGGCCAAACAGCTAAACGTAATATACTAATCCCCACAGATATAGGTAAAAAAAACATAACTTTGAAATTAAATACGTACTGTTAATTAATTCATATGCCTAAATTCGAAATAACTAAGGGATTAACCCGAGTACACTTACGATGAAATACAAGCAGCATTCAGCAGTACTTACATGTAACTGTTCAAGTCTGTGAATTTTCTCCAAAACGTAAATAAATGCGATCGGGGAATAATAATGAGGGGTGAATCGAAGATTGTCTTTTCAATGAAACAGATTTAAAAAAAATATTTAAAACTTCAAGGACTCATATTCTTTGTAATCTGTTAACTGTTATAGATAAACGATGACAAAATTAATTCGTTCGGGTTTGTTCTTCTTTATTTTAGATCGGGATTGAACTTGTAAAAATGGCAGCTTCACGATTTCGCATATATTGAATTACGGATATATTGAAATAATTTGCATGGTCTCCTGAATTTCAATATATCCGGAGTAGGCTGTATTTATTTTAATTACGTAAAGTTGTAAATTAGATGTTGACCATCCTGCAAATAAAAGAAAAATGCTTGTTTTGAAAGTTTATGTTATCGCAAATTTCGTATGTCCTTAAGTGCAGTCACCCTTTATATATTGAATGTAACATTGTGCATTGAAGTAATCAAAATTAAATCCATTTCTTGTAGACAATAATAGCAAATGGTAACAGCCGTAAGGTTGATTACATGTAATTTGTTTTTTTTTTTATCTATTATGCACTTGTATAAGATGTTAGAGTAAATATAATTGAGAGGTATAGTGCACTTATGATAATGATTGACTGATTGTATGTAGTTTTACGTCCAATTCGAGAATTTTTCACTCATATAGAGACGTTACCATATACCGGTGAAGGGCTTCAAATTTTGACCTTTACTCGGCACTCAGGGCCATTGAGCAGTGAGGGATCTTTATCGTACCAACGTCTGTCGTGACACGGGGCCTCGGTTTTTAAGGTCTCATCCGAAGGACAGGCAACTTTCACTTCAAAGCGCATAGCGAAGGAACAGTTGCTATCCATTTTTTATCGACTTAGGTCAGTCGCGGCCGAGATTCGAACTCACGACCTCCCGATCACGGAACGAGCGCTCTACCAACTGAGCTACCGTGAACAGTTGCACTTATTATACGAAATGGGCCAGAATATAACGCGTTTAGTCATCCAAATATTTTCAACGTTTTTAATATTTAACTAGCAATATAAAATTACCAATTACACAAGTATCTAGTTAAATGAAGTTAAAATTATCTCAAACAAGCTGATTTTTTATGGGATATATGGAGAATAGTTGGGTGTGCTTTCATTTGGAACAAACAACCAAAAACATTTGGAAAAATACAGATTTGTTTTTCAAAAAACTGAATTAAGCCAGACAAATCGAGAATGGGCTACATTTATGTTCTTTTGATATAATAATATACCCTCAGGCTTATTTTTTAGTCCTTTTGGTTTCAATTAGTCTTCGTATTCAAAGTTTTTTTCTACATTGTATTCCATTTACCCTTTTTCCAACACATTCTAACAAGGAGCTATGTTTTTATAAAACTGATTCGTGGCTTGGTGGTTTGAAAATGGTGAACTGTTTTGACGTTAGGGTCCATGGAAGACATATATTGCAGTTGTTTAGAAATGAAAAAGTCAAAATTATTGATGCGATCCGCTTTTTCTTTTCAGGAAGAAAATTAAAGCATGGACGGAAAAGAAACAAAACGTCTTCTCAATAAACCAGAACTAAAGCCAGCCAAACCAACAGTAACATGGCGTCATTATTTAGCTGGACCAATTCTGTTATTACACTTATTTGCTTTTATTATGTCTCTAAATACTGTAGGTCTTTATGTACCAATGTTTATATCAAAAAAACTATATCCCATGAGAACAATACCTATTTCAACAGGATCCATTTGCATAGACAATGAAACAGAGGCTTCTCCAGAAAGTGAAGCTATTCAGAAAGAGGCTGCTGTGTTCAACATCTATTTAGTCTTAGTTTCAGGGATACCTGCTATCATTTCCAATTTGGTCCTTGGAACATTAAGCGACCGATTTGGACGAATTTTTCTTTTCCTCACACCAGCCATTGGTGAATTTATCAACAAAATCGCTGTGCTTTTCTGCGTTTATTACAATCTTGATATATATTATATTTTAATTGGTAGTACCATTGAGGGTTTAATGGGAGGTTATTTGACGCTGATGTCGGCATCTTTTTCATATATTGCTGATATAACTGAAAACAATAAGCAACGTTCAGTAGCTATTGTATTTCTTGAGATGTCAATTGGTATAGGGGTGGTAGTGGCAAGATTTAGCACTGGATATTACATCCAAGCAACGGACTATGTTTGGCCACAATTGACAGCTTGTTGTATATATGCACTACTGATATGTGTTATCATTTTTGTCTTACCCGAAACAAGGATTCCAGAGTCTGAAAATAAATTGCTTACTAAGACACTATGTCTGAAGCAAGTTGGAGCTACACTTTCCTTCTACATCTCAGAAAGTTACAAAGGAGAACGATGGAAGTGTAATATTTGTATGCTCATTTTCTTTACCACTGGTCTTAACGTTTTTGGAAAAGCCGCAGTAGATACACTGTTCCAGATAAGTCAACCTTTTTGCTGGGGTTCAGTAAAAGTAGGATTGTATGGTGCACTCTCAGGTTTATTCCAGAACGTGATCTGTATGGGAATGATTAAAGTCCTCCATCTTTGTCTCAGTGATGAAGGAGTATCCATTCTTGGATCGATCTCAGGAATCGCTGGTTTCATGATAACAGCATTTGCCAACACGGACCTTATGTTATATATAGGTAATGATTATTCTTTTATATTAACTTGGGTATACATGAGTTATTTTAAATGAATGCTATGTAATCTCCATATAGACGAATATTCAATTTCGATACAAGAACCGTTATTTCGATACAAGTTCAGCCACATAGTACTGGAACGGCAGCAATTTCAAAGTCTACATGGTTTAACATTACGAAAACCTGGTCTTCTAAAATCAAAACATTGAGGTTGATGCTGAAATCAATACAATGCATACCAGTACAACTCCACATTGCAAATGCTTAAAATTAAAATGCAAAAACTGGCTGCTGAAATCAATACAAGCATTACTAGTATCAATGGTACTTCTGGTACCATAACCTAATTAAATCAGCAACATAACTAGCAAGAATTTTAAACAGCAAGTTAAGAAATCAACATAATAATGCAGTAAGAAAAAGGACCCTGTACTCTGAGAAAAAAAAATAGGATTTTAAATGTTTTTGGATTATCTGTTTTTTTATGTCTTGAATTTAATATATATTTGCTTTAATGATGAGTAAACTACATCTTACTAGATAGGAATTTCGAGTTTATATTTGTATAATTGAATCAAACGCATTTAGAACCATTTTGTTGAGGAATAAAACTGTTGTATTTAATTTGATTTCATTAATGATACTTGATGCTTTATACTTTGTAAAGCTGCGATTGCTGGAGGTGGTGCAGTTTTGACTTTACCAATGGTGACAGCTATTATGTCGAGAATTACTCCACAAGATAAGCAAGGTTTTGTATAAGGGGATAAAAAATGCATTAAAGTTTATTAGGTATTTAGATTCAACGATATATAAAGGTTCATATACAATATTACATGTATTATTTTTCTCTAGATTTATACTGATTCCCGAGGTAAAGTTATTCATAATTCGGATTATCGAACATATTTACAGTCCAAAACAGTTGACGATTTCGAAATTTTACCGACTTTCAAAAAATATTAATATAAAGGAATAAGTCAATTTTAGTTGTCACAAACCTACCTCAAACATATGCTGCATCGCTTGAAAGTATCTTGTAGTTTATAATAATGAATAATAAAAGAAAAAGTTGGTGTCAGTGATGTAAATTTTGAGATATTGGTCAAAATGTGCAATTTTCAGACAAAACCAATGCAAATTTTATCTTGACACTTCTTATATCCTTTTTTTTTTTAGCAAAGTGTGTTGAGTGCAGGTATAAAATGTGTTCTAAAATTATTAGTTGAAATCTTCGTTTAATATTCCTGGTATATAATAACGAAAATAATCTCTGAGTAAAAATATATAAGGCTTAAGGCTGAAGTCCCAAGATATCAAAATAAACAAATGCATAGATTTGAAGAAATGTCTTCTAAATATCCTTCCACCAGAAGAAAAAGTCCCCCATAAACTTGTTTCTTTACGATTTTGTGAGCAGTTGTAAAACTGAATATTGAAAATTGTATAATTTGCATTGTAAAACTTAAATATGTTATAAAAACTGAATTGTAATAAATATTTTTTAAGATACAGGTTCTGACAAACCTTTCTCAAAAGCTGACGAGTGACATATCAATATAATATAATATACCATTTAATATTTTGGACAAAATGATTACTTAATTGAATTAGATATGTTTGATATAAATCATGTGTAAATTTGATACTTCAACCATATACACAGGTGCCCTTTTCGGTGGGATAGCAGCGATTGAAACAGTTTGTGCCATTGTAGGAAATCTTATTTTAAACTCAATCTACTCCAACACAGTCTCGTTCTTTAGAGGAACCGTGTATTTGGTGATGGCCGGTTTTGTACTTATTTCGCTGCTTCTTCTTGGGTAAGTTTGTCTTGAAAACAATAATTTATATATGTCATTCAGTGTCCGCTTTGGTTAATTGAAATTGAAAGAAATCAAAAAGAAAAAAATTCTTTATAAACACCCCCTCTCGTTCGATGCACTTTTTCATAAGATACATATTGGTGGTACAGGACAAACTGGCGAATGCAACTTTGCTTATTTACATTTTAGACATGGTCATTGCTTAACTCCTTGAACATCAAATATGTTCTACCATTTTTAATTTAGGAATAAGATATTGAATTAGTGAACTCGAATTGCTTATTTGCGATGTGTAGTTGGATATAAGTTCAAAGCATTATTCTTATCTTATTTCAGAATTTTTACAATTTTTTCACAAAACGGACCAACTTTCAACAAAACTGATCAATTAGAAGTCAAGGAAGAAAATTGATAACGTCTTCGACTTGAAACTTTAATAAACATTCAAAGTTTGATTTATAATATTTTGGTTACATATAGAATTACTATGGTAAGTGAGGGGTATTTCATTAAACTGTATAGTGAGTGTCTGTCTACAAGTATGGCTGTCTTTATCTTAAAAAAGATTGATTGATTGTATGTTGTTTTACGTCCCGTTCGAGAATTTTTCACTCTTATAAAGACATCACCATATACCGGTGAAGGGCTTTAAATTTTTGACCTTTACTCGGCACTCAGGGCTATTGAGCAGTGAGGGATCTTTATCGTACCAACGCCTGTCGTAACACGGGGCCTCGGTTTTTAAGGTCTCATCCGAAGGACCCGCAACTTTCATTTCAAAGTGCCGAGCGCATGGCGAAGGAATAGTTGTTAACCATTTTTTAATCGACTTAGGTCCATCACGGCCGAGATTCGAACTCACGACCTCCCGATCACGGAGCGAGCGCTCTACCGACTGATCTTAAAAAAGAAATCAACCTATTTGATATATCTAAATTCAAAAAAAAGTTAATTTTTCCAATGAAATATTTGACCTGTCTTTGTACAGCGTCTTTCTTGAACAAATAAAAATGTTTTGCTTTTGTGGACATGTCGCATTACGTTTTCTATAGCCCATACTGATGTACCCAATTGTTGTTCGTACATACTGGTATTTCTTCATGAATGTGATTGTTGGTATTGCATTGAATTCTTGCCACCACTGTAGCAAATATGAAACAGATTAAAACTTTTCATCTGCATGACGCAGAGCTTTGTTCTTTGTTATTTTATAGAGATTATTTCAATGGAATTATGGTAAATTTTATTGAATCGTATCTATGAACTTTTTTTCTTTTCGATTACTTACGGGACAACCATTTGATTTGTTGAGGGATGACAAACTTTGTAGAGTGAGATTATTTACTAATTTATTTTCTAAAATGACCAGGGACAAATTATTATTTTCTTACTTGGAAAAAGTAGGCAGGCAGATTAATGGGATGGCAATTAATGATATACTGCAACATAAAATAAAACTTTAACTGTACATTTCTTTCAGCTGATTCTATCTCTAAAAACTCATCTGACTGTATATGTCTGTACTCAGTCTCAATCAACTGAATTACTGCTGTATCTCCCGCATTTCAACATCTACACTCACACTGACTAGCGTCTTCTTTCTTTCAGATGGTCGTCTTATGACCTTAAAGTTTAACAGGTTTACATCATTATCTGGTTCTGATAAAATTGTATTGCAAGTACATCATTAAGTAATGCTTGCACAATTCTGTTTCCTAAAATAAAACTTGATTTACTTTAGGAATGACTCTAATTCTTGGCCATATTATTCGAGTATAACCTGGTTTGGGTCAGTTTACGCTTTATAATCCGCTTCAAACAGCGTAAACTGACCCAAACCAGGTTATACTCGAATAATTTGGCCAAGAATTAGAGTCATTCCTTATAATTTAATTCTAAAATCATTAAATAACTATGGGTGTAAAATTTCGTTGCTTTTTATTAGTTCAAATTTGCTGCTCAGTAATACAGCCGTAGTAACGGAAGTGATGGGAAGCGAGGGGAGGTAAAAACTGATACATAGGCCTAGCAGCCTTGTTGTTTGTTTACATTTGGTAAGATCAAATTATTGTTTGAAGTTAAAATCTGGAATTTTCCATGAATCCCGAGGACTAGAAATGAGAGGATTGTATGGATACAGATGATTCAGCTGGTTGTCAGGGGAGGGGGGGGGGTGTCTTCATATCAAACCTAAACACCCCTATTTTAAATAATGTAGCATTCCAGATAGACTACCAGGTATTGCAGGAGATGAGTTATTCCATTATTGACCATTATTGATTTCTACTGGTCAGTGTTGTTGAATGGTTATAAGCTGGAATTGGCGGGAATTACATTCATGATTTCATTATTGTTCTGAGAACTGGTTTTTGAAGGGTGTGAATAATAATACATGAAACCATTTTAGTGCTGGAAGATACCCTTATTCCTGTAAGTAAATTTAATAAATAAACTTATTATTAAGAAATGTGTACATATCAGATTGATTAATGTAAATATTGCTTATAGGATATTTCTATAAATTAGGAGTAAAAGACTTGTATAATGGTTCAAAGAGCTTATTAACTGAGCGATATGCGACCTAATTATTTAAAATATTTAAAGGTGTAAATATAAATGGTCTATAATTAGTTGTGTTAAATGCCAAATATAATTATATTGGATCCACACCCGAAACGGTCTTGTTATTTATCAACCCAAGAACCGGTTACAATAATGCGTAACGACCATTCACGACATATTGTTATGGACTTTATAAATAGTGACTTTTAATATTTTTATGCGCCCGGATCGATAGATCGAGGGCGCATATTGTTTTTGTCCTGTCTGTTTGTTTGTCTGTTTGTTGTGAACTTTAACCTTCGCCATAACTTTTGAACCATGAGAGATAGAGACTTCATATTTGGTATGCATACTCCACTAATCAAGTTCTTTCAAATGACACCAAGGTCAATGACCTTGTGACCTTGACTGTGACCTATACGCTAAAAATAGCTTTTTAGAACTTTGTTGCCGCCGGGTGCATATTGTTTCACTAACACATCTTGTTAATGTTTATTTTTGTACTTTAATGTTTATTTTGTGCTATGATTATCGTTCTTTGTATAGATGTCGCTTTATTTTGATTTTAATCACGTGATCTTTATTATATGTATATAAATCATGATTTGTATTGTTTTAGTTAGTCTGTTGGCTCGCTTGGTTCTGAATAAGAACATAGTTCCTGAATAAGGAAATTAGTGCCAAGAAAGTCCTGAATAAGGCAACATTCCTGAATAAGGAAAGAAAACAATTATCAACCTGAATAAGGTTACTAATACCGTGCAGTGCGTATGCAATATTTTGATGAATGATAGCCTTCCAATAAATTATATAAAAACTACTACATCTTTTATTACCAAGATTTAAAAAAGCAAAACGAATCCCGTAACAATATTTATCATGTAGTTCAAAGTATATACAACAGAGATATATGTTACAGTTTATGCGTTATATTTTTTTTGGAAAGAAGCATTGTAGCCAACAGTTGCACATTTTGAATTTTTCAATACATCTGCAGTGGTAGAATAATCAAAACAAGCCAAAGTCTGGTTGAATTTACAAGATAATAGGACATTCATAAGGTGTCGTTGTTAATTTCTGCTGTGATTTTTTTAAATACAATGTAATACTAAAAGCCCTTTCAAAGTCGGCATAACTATTTGGTAGAACTGATATGGTTTGTAATTAGCCAGTATGTGAATTCAAAGCTTGGCTTAACAAGTTGTATGCCTCGATTTTCCCGCATAATGTTCAGCAATGGCCTTTAACCACGCTGTTTGTTAGCTTGGTTTTTACTGCTTGAAGTAATTAACGCAGAGCTAGATGAGGCAGGCACAGAAGGCATTGATCATTCCTACTATCAGATTTAGAAGGACAAGGCGTAAGATGGGCCAGCAAGTGAGCTTGTAGAAAAAGCATTTGTGATCTCGCATCATCTTCAATTATGTGTGCCCCGTCTTATTTGACCGCACGTGGTTGTGCTAATTTCATCTCAATACCCCTGGCCTTTTTAAGTCATTCCTGGAAAAAGAAAATATTTTTAATTTTTCTGCTGTTTTTAGTTCTATTTCTTATTCTAAAGTTAGTTTATATTCACGCAAATTTATTGAATTTCTAAATGTTTTGTTTTAAAATACAATATACAAGTGTCTTACCTGATCACAATATTTTCTATGTCGTTATCTAATAGCAAGAGCATTTTTGAAAGTCTTGTAGAGAGTCGGTCTTAATCTGTTTCACGGTTGAAAATTTGTACAGTTTCTGCGTTTCAATTGGAGTTTTGGTGTATGTTTTCAAGCAAAGATTTATGGATCTGTACCCAGGGGCATGGATTTACTCAGCATCAAAAGGATCTCTTGAACACAAAACTTAATCACATGCTTTCGTTTTACAAAAGCCTACTGCTCAAAATAAACTGTACTACAAAAATCAATAATTTAAAAAATATTTCAAAATTTTTATAAATTAATTTAGGTGGACGGTGAGGATGAACCGTAAAATTAAGTTGAACAAAGGGGAGTACTTGACTTCCATCAATTTAGTGATACTGTAAACCAACTTTTATTCGCGTGCGAGAAATATCCGCGAGTTTCGCGACCTACATTAACTTGCGAATAATAATCACCACGAATCATTTATTTGCTTTGTATTTGTATAGAATGTTTCCTCAGTCGCGAAAATTAATCGTCGCAGATTGACTTCCAACTGACAAGTTCCGATTAAAAGATGACGCTAATAATAGTTGGTTTACAGTACTTATACAGAAAACAAAAATTATTGGAAAAATACACGCTTTTGCTTTTTCATCTTAAAAGTTGGACTTTAAAAATATGTTTCTAAACAGTCTATCTCCCAGTTGATTCGATACGCAAAAACGTGATCGGGAGGTCGTGAGTTCGAATCTCCGCCGCGACAGACCTAAGTCGATAAAAAATAGGTAGCAACTGTTCCTTCGCCATG